CCCCCCCCCCCCCCCCCCCCCCCCCCCCCGATTGCAACACTCGGCATCAACGCCGGATCTCCCCTCCCCGATGTGCTCGCTTATCGTTTCCTCTTACATCGTCAAGGTTCACGTCCCGCTCGAGGGAAGCTCGGTACACCTCCCTGAGCTTGTTGAACGCCGCTGCCATCTCCTGCGACGGGGACCCGGCGAGGCTCTTAACCTGACAAAGCTCGACGACAAAACTGCTCCCCCCGCACCAAGCAGTAAAAATGGCGTCGACAACCGAAGGAAGCGACAAAAAGCGAGGACAAGAAAATAAAAAGTGATTAAAGACACGACACGGCACCCACCGCAGGAACAACAAAAAAAGGGCAGATAAGGTGCCCACGCATGATTTGACACGAGACCAGCACCAGCGACGAGAACAAAAGAATGGTACACTTTATCCAGAGTCGAAAAGCCGTACTGCTTGCAGACCCAAAATTCATTCGTTCGTTCAAATAGATATCCAGAAACAGCCACCCGGTGCGACCACCTGGTTGAAGAGCACAATCCACAAACCGTTACATGCGGCAAAGCGGCACAGTTCAGCACACCCGTCGCTTAGGCACAAAAAAAGGAAAGCCATCCCTACTGCTGTGCTGTAACATCTGTGACGTGATTACAGTAGTCTACAGTAGTCTGCAGCTGCTGCATGCATCACTACAAGTCAATAACGCGCATAATATAATCCATTACCATAAAAAGAAGCTACATGTTTATGCATTGAGCCGAAAATCCTAGAAATAGAGAGGCAAGCATCGCTGCGAGCTCGGAAAAAGCAAGGCGAGTCGAACAGGCAGGTGTAACCTGAGCAAGTGCGTAGATAGGCTAAACACATGACCCCTCCGGAGGGGGTTCAGGAGAGCACAAGGAAATCAAAAGGGGTGACGCCAGATGAAAATAAATGCAGGCAGCAGGACCAAGCCACACCTGCGGTGCGACGGTTCCCAAGCTCACACAGCTTGACGTGTTATTGACTCCAACAACCCAACGAACCACAAAGAAGAAGATCTGTCAACGGCCATGTTCCCTTTGTTCTCTTCTCTCCACTCTCCGGCGCTCTATCCACCTCTCTCACCGCGTAAAGTGCCACAGCGGTGACTCCAGCACCGCTTGCGCGCCGGACGATGCCTCCGAACCAGGAGAAGAAGCCGCGTCTTCTCCCAACACCCAAGACGCGCACGCGTCCAAAAGCACGCCAGCGTCTTCCGTCCTGCGGTGGGAGGGCAAAGAGAAAGGGGGCGAGACGCAGCAGCAGCAGCCGCAGCAGCAGCGAGACTCTCTCGATCAGCTGCACAGCAAAAGCCAACCAGAGGTCCGTGTACACTATACTTCGTAAACAGTACAAGATACAAGATGAGTGACATCGTAAGCACCCTTAAATACAGAAGAGGGAACAAGGGGGTTGCCACTATAATAGAACGTTCCAACGCTGTTGACACCATTCACCCTCGTTCTCCGACCCTCTCCCCCGCACCTCGTCCACCATCCCGTGCTCCGTTACTCGACCCCCCTACCTGTCGTAGGACAGCGTGTGGAGGACTGCCCTGCAGATGAACAAGTCCGTCTCCCCCGGGTAGCCCTTCGCGGCCCACTGCTTCACCAGCGCGGAATACTCCGTCGGACACCCGGACACGGCGAAGTACCTGACGAAGAGACACAAGGGATGCACGACGGCAGCAGCAGTGTTTGCCAGAGGGGAGTTAGACGAGAACGGCACGACCACGAAGTGGAGTGAGAGAGAGAGACACACAGAGAGAGAGAGAGGGGGGGGGAGAGAGAGAGGCCTAGGGTAGCAAAAAACACGGACGACTGAACTTTCATCCGAGCTGTGAAAAAGCCTACACTAGATGGCCAATAATCTGTCCTCATGAAACGCCAATGCGGTGTAATAACCCGTCGAAGCGAATACGTCTGGTTTGAATTACGGACGACAAGGGCAACGTAGATGCTATCCTGCGACCCCATGCGCACAGGAATTGAATTGAGCGTACTCTATGCCACGAATATAGTTTGCGACAGACTGCTGTTATCATGACAGCAGTGGAACATGAAAGAGCTTTGAGGAACAGCTCCGTCTTTCCCTAGGGGAGGTGGGGTGTCATTGTCGAGCCGCCACAGCCCATGATTTGGTTGTAGGTAAAACCTCCCTTCTTCCCATGACTCAAAAGAGTAACATCTCCCTTGGCATGCAATCTCCCACGGCAGCGAAGGCCACTCCCACTCGCAGTCGCTGTCTAAACATGGTAAACCTTAAGGCCTCGGACCGCAGGATAGTATGTAACCCGTGCGACGGAGCGCACTCTGCCCCGAGATGAGCGCGGGAAAAAAAGAGTACCATACGGGAGGATGGCAGACACCACCGACCCGCTGGGAGAGGAGGCGATGCCACTGGTACCAAAATCTCACACTCGTAATAAGGAAACAACAACAAATTGGCTCGGAGATTATTCTGGAAGAGAGCTATTTAGCTTCTTTCATCCACGGCCCCAAAACTCTCGCATATTTTGGCGGGCAAAGGACTGCTGTCATCCCATCCCATCCATCACCTCGCTGCTTCAGCCAGGTTACCCGTCGTCACCGCGGAGCGTGCCATGATGAGCCGCAGCTCGAAGGCCGCTTCGGTCTTGGTGTGCCTCGTCCATCTGCGGTTTCCAAAAGGGGCCGTACAGGGAGGGGGGGGGGGGGAGGGGTCACAGAAAGTTCTCGCGAGGTGAAAGACGGAAACACTCAAGCCTTCGAACGAAGCGTAATAGTATGTTTGGCCGTCAGTACAAGTTGGCAATAAAAAAAAGAAGCGAACCAGACCCCGCATGCGTACAAGTGACTTGAGAGTTGGAGAGGGCGACGGCTTCCCGGGATTCCCGGGAGAAAGGGGCGAGAAGACAGAGAACCGGCCGTCCAACTCTACCGAAACCTGAACTGCGCCATTCATTCACTTCCTGCACGGCCACCACGCACATCAACCCTCGCCCTCCCACCTGATGGCGCGCTTGAGGAACTCCGACATCTCCACGCCTGGGGTCATGGCAACCGCCACTCGCTTGAGCTGTGACAGTCTCGCCTCGTCCACCTCGCGCCCGTTCTCCTCGAAGCTCGTCACGATCAGCAGCCCCAGCTCCGTCGCGGCGTTTAGCTGCGGCGGAACAACCCCCCACGAACGTACAGCGGTAGTGTGCGCGGGGAACGCGGTCGGGGGTACGACGTCATGGCCCTGTTAAACACGCTAGCCACGAACGACCAACCGCGGTGACATACAACGAGAGAATCAATCTACGCACGTAAATTGAATTTCGAGTGCAAGGCTGTTGAAATCCTTCTTTCTGTTCACAGCATGACAAACAACGTAGGTTACAAGTCTGTGGGCAGGTGGGGTTAATTTTGCCGGAACTGAATTGCAGAGCTGAAAGCAACCAGCGGCGACACGGCGTGTGCCGGGCCGAGAAAAGCTCGTCGAAACGAGGCGGCGACCCCTCAACACATCATTGGCTTCCACTCTGAAGGCTACGCCAGGTTCTTCACCGAAACAATAGAAGGGAATGGCGTTTCGCGAACGAAACGAAACAACTCAAACGTAGCGTAGGGGATTTGTACAGAAGCAGATTTATGTCGGGGGGACGCAAAACATCCAGGAAAAAGCGTCATGTTAAAAACGTTTTGGGCCGTATGCCTATTGTAGATCGAAAAATCACACTGCTGTGCCAAACCCAATACCTTTACAAGTTTTGGCGTAGGAGAACGCCCGGCGATCCTGCTTGATTCGAGTTCAACCCGTTCGTCGATAGGGCATGCTCCAATACAGGTGGAGAACGGCAGCGACGCGTCAAAGCACCCAGAAGATACGCAGTTTTAGTCAACTTTCGAGCTGCTGCATGCACCTACATGCACTTGCCGAGAACACCTCTAGCGTCGTTTCTGGTTGCCTGCTGCTGCTGTCAAGGCGTGCGACGCCGCTCACAGACCACATCGGTATCCTCTAGCACTTTCGAGCAGTGTGGCTGCTTGGTGGCGTGCTGTAGCTGTCGGCAACTGACGCGCACCGTTCTGCGCTGTGTCACCATACTTCTATTCTGAAGATTGCGCTCAAATCGCAAAATTTCAAGCACCTCGATCTCGCGCTACAAGGCCAAAACTGAAACCGGTATGCGGCACAGAGTTCATCGACGGGGTTGCTCAAGCTGGCATGATTTCTCCAAAAAGATGCCACCTGCCTCCTACATTAGGGCTGTAAGCGGGCAGTAGCCAGTAGCCTTCGCAGGGTTTTCCTATTAAGTAAACATGTTGGATAAAGCATACAATCGGGGACGTTGGGTTAGGGTTGAGGTTAGGGAATACGGTCTGCGAACCCCCTCCCTGTTCTATTTCCTCATTAACTTGACTTCTCGCGGAGGCGGTCCCAAGCGGGAGAAAGGAGATATGGAGTGTACAACATTAGTCGAATACTCCGCGACGAAGAGGATGCCAAAATTCAAATGGTTCGTTTCGACAAGCTCTCGACAAGACGGTGCCAACGCCGCCATTTTCGGCACAGTCACACACTGCTTTTTCTGCCGAGTTAATTTTGAATACAAAATTGGTCCAAGGGGTGTGATATCTTGCATCGTGCAAGGGGTGTGATATCTTTCGTCATGCATGCAACCTAATCATACGGACGGTAGGCGAGCAGCCGCGGGATGGAACAGATAGAGGGCCCTGGAGAGAAAAAGACCGCTCGACCAATCAGAGGGCGTGAAAGCCTTAGGTAGATGGGAAGAGTCAATATCAGAACCGTGAACACCTGAACCGTAAACAACTGCTGTCTGGAAACACTAACACTACCGGCCGGAACAACCAGCGTAATCTTGAAGGCATTTTGGGTCATTCGGCTGCATGATCGGTGCTGTGGGCTGCATCGCTGTGTGGTAGACTAGCAACAGCGTGACTTGTGCTGCTGATTTGGTAGGGTTGGGGACTGGACCAGTGAGTACTGACAGTATTCCTGTACTGGACAGTTTCCTTGGACTGGCTCAGAGGGGTGCCAGTACAGCCAGTACTTCAACATGTTACGTACGTCCCATATTATGCCTCCTAAACCATATGGAAACCCACCAAATTGCCCGGAATGAGAGGGTGAGAGAGGAGCGCAAGCACGAGGCATACGCGCCCGCACTCGAGGGAAGGTGCAACCGTGCGATCGATGGACGAATTTGTCACTGGCAGCGGTGTGCCTGCTCTTTGTGTCACCAACAGCGCAAGTTGCGCAAGTTGAGAAGTTGCTGTTTATTGTTTTGGCGCGAGGGGGTCGGTCAAGTAGGGAGTAGGTTGGATGGAGCTACGGCAGGGTAGTGCGCGCCTTTACGGGTGGATTGCAAAGTAATTTGATTTTCGTGGCTTTCAGCCAGGATGTGTTGTTGAAGGAAAATGAGCACCATCTTGTGAAGGTTTTCAAGTTGAAGATGGTTTGGAAGCAGCTTCATGGTGAATGGGTGCCTGTGTGTTGACACCCAACCAAAATCTACATGCTAAATCCGATGCAGATGCGTGTTGTCACACCCAACCAAAGCTTAAGCAAACTTGCCAACAAATTGATCATTTTTCGGGGATTTCAAGGATTTATACCCTGACTCTGGCATCGTCAAAGTGACCCAAAATCAACCAAAAAATATGTTTTGGTGAAGTCAAATCACGTAAAAACGCGCCTCCGGAGGGGCGCCTCCGGCGGCCCCCCCTTACCAGTTCTCCTTGTACTGGCGCGCCAGTCGCCAACCCTATGATTAGGCCTTCCGTGCACAAGGGCTGGATGCGCACCGGTGTGCACGATAGGCTGAACGTGAGTCCGAGGAGTATCGGAACCAGCGGGAGGACAAGCTCATGCATCAATAGCCTGCCTCTGAAGGAGCCAGTGCATGCTGCTGCAGCAGTACCATATGTACGTACCAAGTACAACGCGGATATTTGTTCTGTAATGTGTAACCCTTGCGTTATACTAAGTGTGCAGAATGCCAATACGCGTACATTTTCCTTGGACGTATGCATTCACGGGGCAGCATCCTGAGCATGGGTCTATATGCACAGTACGTAGTTAGATAACGGGTAGGTATCAATGCACCACTTTCGCGGTAGAGTCTCAGCTTCGTAAGGTGTTGTCATTTACATACGCATTGAATACATGTGGTAGTCTTGTTCTTAAGTGCCAAGAGGGTAGCCGTGAGCTAAATGATCCCAAGCACTCAGCAACGTCAACCACACACAAAAGGCATCGGCAAAAAAAACACCACCGGCCACTGCATGCACAAAACTACAGTAGGTCCTTGCATACCTCGTTCTCCTTGGACATGGCAATGGCGCCCGCCGTTAGCAGCTCCTCCGCATCATCGAGCCTGCCCTGGGCCTTGAGCCTCGAGTACGAGGTCTTGTACAGCTGCAGGGCCTCATAGAACTCTCCCTCGGAAACCCGCTGCTGCAGCCTCTGCACCACGTCCAGGCTGTTGCCCCCGGGCTTGCGTCTTCGTGACATAGCTACCTCTGGTTGAGTGTTGTGTGTTGTGTCCGTGTGTGGTGTTGTCCCTTCACGGCATTGCCCGGCAAACTAAGGCGGGGATGAAACCCAAGCATCCCCTGGTCAAACACGCAGTAACACAGAGAGAGAGAGAGAGCGCAAGGTGGAAGACAAAGAGGCACACGGTAATCCACGGCGGGCAACGCCCTCCCAAGAGCTTGCTTGTGGAAGAAGCTGGACTCCCTCTTCCTGGTTACCGGCGGGATCGCTTGTGCAGTCGAGGTATGTCAAATGGTGCTTGCCTCAGAGAGTCCTTTCGTTGCCTCTCTCGCCGGCATGGCGTTGGACTACCTGGTGCTTTTTTTGGAAAGCTAAATCGGAATTCGAGTTGTTCCCCTCGCCAAAGGAAGAGAGGGCAGACACACACGGGCAAGACGGGCAGACTTCTCGACCCTCCCCCACGCCGGGCCTGTCGCAGCAATTTCTATGCAGGCACTTGGGCCTTGGACGGAATATGCATGCCTGTGGCAGGCGTGCGTGGTCTCGCCTTCCTTCTGTCTCTCTGTGGACATATCGAAGTATCATGTTTTTCGTCGTGTGTGCGGGCCCAAGTGTACGAAAAACGCACCTACAGCAACACACCTTTGAGAGAGCTAATAACAATCTTGCTTTGTTACCGAAATGACGGAACGCACAGACCGGGATACACCACGAGGGTAGGCGACTTCCCCTGCTTGTGCTGCATCACACACAAGACTCCGGCCTTGCATTTCGGCAGCGTGCTGGTAGCTCATTGCCTACGATTCCAGTCTTTCTTCACTGCCCTCGCCCGAAGGGTAAGCGAACGACTTGTTGTAACCATATCGAAATTATGCGGCGTCGCGTGGTCTGCTGCATTTTTCGACTCCGTTGTTGACGAAAGAGAGAGGGAGCAGAGACAAGGGCCGAATGAGGAAGAACGCCGTTGCAAACCGCCTTTTTCTGTACCCCTCCCTCCGCCACGCTCTCTCTCTCTTTCTCTCTCGCCGTCTGTTTGTGCTGCCTTGTGGTGCAGTCTAGGTCAGCGAAGGCCGAAAGGGGGCCGTGTGGCGACTGATCTGTATTACTTCACACCCAGCAAGGAGTGCAGCAAACAAACATCGATCACCGATCGTGGTACAGCAGTACAATTTGATTTTGGCGCCAGCAGCAGCGAAAGATCGATTGGCACTTGTTGTCAGAAGAACACGGACTCAGGAGCAAAGGGCAAGTGGCAGAGCAGCCACCACGCAATCGTGGGGCATCTCGAAACCCTCAGCTTGCTTACGCCGCAGAGGCATCAGGCTGGTTCGAGTTTTGGCTGTCCGGTCCACAGCAGTGGCCGGCGGAAGCCTTTTGTGGTTTTTAAAAAGTAGCCGGCAGCAGCCGCCGAAGCTTTTCCGATGGAGTTCAACGCGCTAGTCTGGGCGAAGGCTCACGATGGGCAATGGCACAGGGGCACCGTCATCTCGAGGGAGGAGACCGGCAGTCTTCGCCACATAAAGGTATGCAAGTGCGCGAGCCGTGTTGGGTGGGGGTGTGTTCGGATGATGGTCATGATGACCCTCCCGCACACAGGTTTTATGTACTACTGCTGTTAAGTACATACAGCCAGTACAGGTACATGGAGACTTAAGCCTTTTTTTTGCCTCTGCTGTTCCTGAAGAGCCCCGATGTGGGGCCACGCACAGACAGAACAGCGTCGCCCCCCTACCTGTGTGTGCTTGCCCTCACTATTTAGCACTATGTATCCCGAGAAACGTGCAGCAGTAGTTCTTGAGAGGTAGACTATCTAGATGCGTGTCACTAGGCAACAGCCGAATAGCCAGTGGTGGTGGTGGTGCTTATCCCACCCGATGACTCTGGTTCTGGCTGACTTTTTTTGTTCGCTCTATGATTCCGTTAGCCGGCCCCGGGTTAGTGCGCCGTATGCGTAAGCATATGCACATGCACAACGGATACCGAAGTAGGTATTGTACCCCAAAGGAGTTGTATGAGACTGCTGTGTTCACCGTTGATGATCCCAATACGCAACAGCTAGCAGGAGAGTTGGAATTTCGGATGGCAGTGGTGTTTGGCATGCATACTGCTGTACCTTCCGTCTAATTCCGTCTACAGCACTACTGCTGTACTCGTACAGTTCATTTTAGTCTCCAAAATCGACTGAAATCGACTGTCGTGGAGCAAGGCGTGTATCGGCAGCCTCCCCCCAACCCTCTCTTGATGACTATTCCAACAGCACCCACAAGCTCTGGCAGGCGGTGGTTGTGGAAGGTTGCAGCCTGTTGGGTGTTTTTCAACTGTGTTTTGTCGCAGGACTGCGAGCGAGCTATGGTGCGTGAGCAGCGTAGCGCACGAGCAAGGTACTGTAGTAACAGCGCCCGAAAATCGGACGGCGTGTGCTCGTTTGGCAACATTCCCATCCCTGTATACATGTACTCCTGTATTCTCTTTGTACACCAGATTACATACCCCGGCGATAGCATGTTGACTTGCAGTGAAATAAAGTTATCACCGCGGGTGTGTTCGTTGTGTGGGACGTGCATATGGTATCTTAAGTGGCCCTATACCTTGGCTGAGAGATGATTTTTATGTTCGGGCTCGTGTTAACCCGTAGTTCCACCGCCGGTTGTGGTATTGCGAGGTGTGTGTGATCTTGTTATAGCACGGTACGTTTGTTCGTCATTGCCTCACAACCTTGGCTGCTGCCATTAGCAATCGAAAAGCGGATTGTTTGCGAGTCAACGACATGTAGCGTCACAACGGCTGGAGCGAACGTAGTGGTGTGCTCCCCCCGCCACCCCCGCACGGTCGCCCTTAGCGGGGTGCAGCCCAGCCCTTAAATGCGCATCGCCGAATACCTCATTTCGTTTCGCGCTTAGTGCTGTGCTCACCTAGTTGGTAGCAACCCCAATTGCCTCATCCCGCCTTAGTAAGAGACGCCATGTTCGTGGCCGAAATGCGACGGCGCGCGTGATCATGAGTAACCCCCCCCCCCCCCCCCCGCCAAGCTCCCCTCTAGTGTCCCCCTATTTAGTTGCAATCGCATCGAAAATTATGTTGGTCGTGGTACACGCGTGTGCGCGGTGTCGGCTTTCTGCTGCTTTGAATTTATTAGTACGGATACTTTTTTGTAAGTTATTCGTGCGAAGTACTGCTCCCTAGGGTGCCGCCGTATCCGGGGCCATGATCACCCGACGCGAGCGTGGATTCCGTGTAGCCAGAGGCTAACAGCACGCTATCGCCGAGCACGTACGCATACAGCCGAGGGTCGTTCGTGTTGGTTCCATCGTCGTTCTTTTTATGGTTATTTTTGTGTACACGACGGTCTGGTCGTTGATGATGAGGAAGGGGGGTGGTGTCTACATTGGTCTCCCTCCCGACCTTCGATATCCGCGCCACATTCCCCAACCGATGGAAGCGTTGGAATTCAAGAGTACAGGGTTCCCGTTGTTCATGACGTCCATACCAACGCTAGATACGCGTCATATGCAGGAGTAAGAGCGACGATTGAAAAGGCTACCCGCAGGCGACGCAAGTCAAAACACCCTTCAACACAACCACACCCGATCGATCATAGCATTTTTTCCGGGTCACCGTTGTCCCGAAACGTAATATCTTCTCAGATCCAGCAACAATAGGGCAGGGCGACAGATACTGTACCCCACATTCCACACAACAAACACACCAGGTAGTACTTGTTTTAGAAGCCGAAATGTCGTCGTGACCACTTGTGGTGCTGTTACGTATCGCGTGATACGGCATTCCCTCGCCTGCGAACGCATCTGAGGGCTCTCCTTTTCTCGTGGGTGTTTCCTTGCGTGGGCGGCATGAGAATCATAAGAGCCACGATTTGATTAGGAACAAATCATTCTTTGAAACGAACCGTTCTAATGCTTTGTTTTTTCTTCAAGCCACGTGCATCTTCAACTCCCCCTCTTGTCTCTGGTGAACGTGTCGTACGTGCTCAATACTGCTGTATGTTTGAACACACGGGTGGCAACTTGGTGAACGTGGTTGTATGTTGTAACGCGTTTCAACAAATGGGTGGGTTATGCATGTGCTGCTTCTTTACAGGTTGTGCTCGACGACAAGGAGGAGAAGGTGTACACGCTGACGGCTGCCCAGGCGGACGAGGGAGAGGGAACGGAGCACCTGAAGCTGAGGAACGTCAAGGGCCAAGGCGGGGTGCGTGTTCTTTGTCTTTGTTGTTGTTGCTACTGTTGTCGCTGCTGCTGCTGCTACTGGTGCTGTTGGTGTTGATATCGTTGCCGCTGGTGCTTCCTTCGCTGTAGCTGGTGTTACGGTTGCTGCCGCTGGTGGTGGTGTTCGCATGGGACTGTGTCGCGTGTCTGCTTGCTTGGCGATGTGTGTCCGTCTCTGCGGTGCGTCCACCGCGTCGGACGTGACTTTTATTTCAATGAGTTTTCCATGTCCCGCCGCTAGTTCCTTCTCTCGACACATATCGTATCGAGTCTCGCCAAGCTAAACACCACCGCAATTCAAGCATCGTGTGCGATTTAATCGAACGTGGATGAGGCTGAGATGGTTTCCTTGGAGGCCAATCCCCGGCTCTCTGCTAGTTGAGCAGAGTCGAGCACGGGGCACTCCCTCGTGTTTCTGGTCTCCTTGTGGCTCACGTCTACTGCTGTTCCTATTTCTGTCTCTCTTTCTCTCCCTTTCTCTCCCTCTCTCTCCCTCTCCCTCTTCACCTGGCACTCTGGCGTCTGCCGTACGCACACCCAACCGGAAATTATTCCGCCGCTGCCTGTGCTTGCCTCGCGGTGAAAAAAATCCCAACGCAACGGCGCGCGTGCAAAAACTCCATCGCCGCGATGTGAACCGATTATCGGATGGACCGGCGAACGGACGGATGGGCGGGCCTGACAAACATCGTGCTTATACATCTTGGCGTCAATACGCCTGCCCGGCGTTACTATTGCTCGGTGGGCGTGGTTCGTGCTTCATGGTTGGGGGTGGGGGTCGGGGGGGGGTCTTTCTTGGGGATTGCTTGGGTTTTCGGAACACGCGCGCGGCGAGCAGGCGAGTATCGAAGAAGGGCCGGGGGTGGATGACCTTATCGTGCTGACACATCTGCACGAGCCGGCCATCCTCTACACGCTCCACCAGCGATACATCGAGGACGTGATTTACACCTACACGGGCCCCATCCTCCTGGCCATCAACCCCTTCTGGAGGGTACCGCTGTGAGTTTCTCTTGTTTTCTTCTTGGATTCCCATCGGTTTCTCGTTCTGTCTTACCGCTGTGTGTGGAATTGTGTTATACATCGCCTTTTTTTTCTTTTTTTCTTGTATTGAGATAGGGTCAGGGTTACAGATCGGGTTGGTTGATATACGCAACACCTCCTGCGATGATTGTGCGTGTGATGTACGTCAGGCTTTTTTGTGTGTGTGCGTAGTAGGGTTGGGGTTATAGTCCTGGTTGATTGTCCCAAATCTACCCAGATTCTCCCGGCGATGATTTTATGTGTGTTATTGTTTTGCGCCTCCCGATATGTTGGTGTATGCACCCACCTCTGGATTGGTTTTGGGTTCGGTTGCTTTCATCAGGCTGGCGGTGCACTGGCCTATCTCTTTAGACTCTGCACATGGCGCCCTAATTTGACGCCACCGGTCTGCTGGCTCAATGCGTGCCATTGGTCTACTCCTGGACCTGTCTTTTCGATCGCTTCGTGCATTCAGTCGCTACATTCAACTTTTTCTGACGCAACCGAGATGATAGTTTACAGCGTGGAATGAAGTTGCTGCGATCTGAACAACAGCAGGCAGTTCAAGTGTACTTGTATTATTTTTTGTGGCATGCTTCTCTTTATCTCCGGCCGTCGTTCCTACCGTAGTTTGCTCAATACTGAACACCCTCTGAACCTTTTTTCCAACCTCTTAATTCCCCAACAACGAGAAAGGGTGCCATTACCGAATCACACATTTTCCGACAAGCTCTCGATGAGACGGTTCCAACGCCGCTCTTTTCGATGCCGTCACTGCTACTACTGCTGTATAGTAGTGGTCGGGCTTTGAACAGTGGTCCGGGGGGTGTGGTATATTACGCAACGTAGGTAATTCCTTGGGATTGGCTTCGTTGTGCGGTCGATCTAGATGGTCGCGCCTCCCGCCTACCGGCTCATCCCGGTTGACGAGTCTGTTAGGGTCGGATTAACCGGATTGATGTGATTCGTCTGCTGCTCCTTGGAGCGGTGCTCGTGTGTTTTTTTTGCTGGAAATCAACCAATAAGCAGCATTCGGTCCTGGCGGGAATATGAACCGCTGGAACATTTTCTCATCCGCCGGGCCCCCTGACATTGGGGGCGGCGCGCACAGGAGACTTGGAAAATCGCTTCTGCGTCCGGATATCCGGAGTCAGAGCTCTGCAGTTGACGACGGCACCATTATGGCTGCTGTCTGTGTCTGTCTGTGTCTGCCTGTCTGTCTGTCCTGTGTGTTTCTGTATTGCCTACATTTTTGTCATTTTGTGTCGTTTATCTTTGGTATTTTCCGTCTTTCTCCTCCGCTTGTTCTTCAGGCAACTTTGAGTATTTTCGGGGTGTTTGTTGTGGTGCTTAGCTTGCTCTATTTGGATTTGAATTGTCCCCACAAACACAACACTGGCAGGTACACTTGTTCGTACACGAAGAAGCGTTTTTTTTTGTTTTTGTCATGGGGAAGACCCTTGTGCAAAGACTAGTTGTTATTCCTTATAACGCCACTAAACTTTTCCATCGCCGCCGCCATCGCCGCCGTGGCCCCCCTGTCCGCCCTTTTTTCGTACGCGCATTGAAAAGGTACACAAATGAGATTCTCGAACAGTACCGGCGGGAGGGCAAGGCCAAGGCCTTCGACCCGGACTACCTGTCCCGGCTCCCCCCCCACGTGTACGCCATCGCAGACGATGCCTACCGGCTGATGAACAACCCGACCTCGGAGAACCAGAAGAGAAATCAGTCCATCCTGGTAACTTTCGTTTGAGAGAGAGTAGTGGGAGGGCAATGGTAATGGGGGAGGAGGGGGAAGTGGAGAGAGAGACAGAGCGGGACAGGGGCAGGAAGGGGGGGGAGGGCACGGACGTATCTTTTTTTGTAGACTTGAATAAAAACGGTTATTTTCATCGCCTGAGATCGTGTTTGTTGTTGCGATGTTCGCTTTGTGGTGACCACAACAGGCAAGGATAGAAACTTTTTTTTTTCGGTTTTGTCGTCTTTATCGACCCACCAATTCGTGTTTTTTTTTTTTTCATTTGATGATGTTGTGGTCACTTTTTTGTTTGTTTTATTGTTTTGTCAAGGTGAGCGGGGAGTCCGGAGCGGGTAAGACCGAGACGACAAAGATCGTGATGAAGTACCTGGCCATCCTGGGAGGGCATGACTCGGAAGCGCTCCTGGCAGGGGACGACTCCGTCAAGTCGATCGAACAGCAGGTTAGTTAGCCTTGATCAACACTGTGTATCGCAACAGAAATCGCAACAGAAATCACATACCACGATACACACGCAAACACGCCCGATGACTAGCAAACACGTGGCGCTTTTGCTCCCGCTGCGTACGAGACGGTCGTCTTTTCGTTGGTCAGAGCGGCTACGGTGTCGCGCGCGCGGTCAATTCTGTTTATTCAAGAAACACTCGCAGGCATGCACTAACATTCGCCTTCTTTGGCCTGCCAGGTATTGCAAAGCAATCCCATCCTCGAGGCGTTCGGAAACGCCCGCACGGTGCGAAACGACAACTCGTCGCGGTTCGGCAAGTTCATCCAGATCGACTTCGATAAGGACGGCTTCCTCATCGGGGCAGGCATTAGGTCAGAACGCAGGCTGGAGGCGGGGGGGGGGGGGGGGGGGGGGGGCACAGGGAAAAAAAGGGGGAAAGGGGGGGGGGAATTTTTAAGGGGGTTGGGACCAACAAATTTTAGGGGCCCCCCCCTTTTGACTGGGGAAAAACCAGGGGGGGGAAAAAAAAAACCAATGGGAAAAAAGGGCCGGGGGGGGGGTTGGGGGGGACCCCCTTTTGGAAAATATAAGGTT